AATCTATGATTTGGGTTTGATACACAGACATGAATTGTAAACTGGCATGAATCAGTTTTGATCCCCTACTTTTGTTCCTTATGATTTTATTTGAAATGGAGACACCACCCCACCCCACTGTAAGGGTGCATCAGCTTAATCAGCACACGATAGTCAATTACCCCCTAGCTGCTCAAGAGGCATGTCAGACAATTAAGTTTATTCAACTTATTGCACTTAAAAAAGAATCCTCGCAGAGTTATACCGACCTAGCTAGTACTACGTGTGAATCTGAATTGGGTCTAAAAAATCACAATCTAGGGACATAGTCTACAGTCATAATGAACAATATTTACATATAGGTATATAAAATATCTGACAAACTGGCTGTTGGAACCATTTTCACCCACATGGGTCAATATATTTGAATCAATTGGTGCCATTGATTATCTCATTCAGTTCTAAATCTTAGTTGTTTGATGTGAGTCTCCTGAATGTGAGAGCAGCAGCCGTATTAGGCTCAAAATCCTTGTGTCAGTTTCAAAATGGAAACCCACTAGGTACTTCAAATGTTCCTGACAATGTCCAATTGCCAATCACATGAATTAGTTCTCAATTCTAATATAAGTCAAACTTGCACACATTTTCAAAGCTCTTGATTGTTTACATTATTTATATAGGATAGCTATATACTATGGGCTAAAACGGCACGCTCTGTCTGGCTTCTGAGCTATTAAATGATACATGGGCGTTTAATTTGCTTTTCCTAAAACAATACTTTTCTTGGGACAATGAAAACCACATTGAAGTGCATAACGAATTTAACGATGAAAAAAACTTTTTAAATTTGCATCCATACAGATTGTAAAATAAGGCCTTAAAACTGCAATAACTTATCTGGTAAAACTTCCTTCTTAGCATTAGGTAGTCTTTCTGGTTCATGCAAATACTACCTGAAACAATGGAATCTTACAAATCTAGAAGTTTACAGGTGAGATAATTCAATCCACTGTGAAAACATGCCTCCTACTCTGGGCCACCTCATACCACACACAGTCTTATACAACTTTGCAAACAAGTGGTCTAACGTAAGCATCCATGAGTGTTCTCTGTGCCACAGGACAGTGGAATATGGATACCATTACTCCCTCAAACCTAAGAAAATAAAAATTCCCAAAACTGACATGTCTAGCTTTAATGGAAATATGGGAATAAAAAGAGAAAGTCAAGTTCTAGGTACTAGTGTGTCTGAAATCTTTGGTAATCATTACAAAAAATACTGTATTCATTTTGCACAAAACCCAGCCACCTGTAACAAGCAAACTGAAGGAAATCAAATATGTTTATTCAAAGAATAGTTAACTTATTGAATGTCAGGAGCAATTCCTAAAATTGAAACTGAGCTGGTGCCATTTAGCTTAATTACCACCTTAGTATAAAACTCTGGAACTATTTTTTTAAAGATAGTCTGCTTGATATATTCTATGAGTTCTGTTGGGACCCTACAATAACAATTTTCTGCCCCATGCTTTTTCACCATGTGTCAACAGACCTGACCCTTTCTGCCTATTGTACTGCCTGTCAAACATGGGCAGGGATTTTCAATTATAGCTGGCTACCTGATTTCTGCATGACCGCTGCATAGTAAAGGTAGAGAATGCAAAGGTTGGTGGGAATTACATGGTGAGTTATGGTGACTTAATGACTTAACAATTCCAAGAGTAACTGTAAAATAAGTCTTTTACACTTTATTTCTTCATTTCTTCATTACACAGGTAATCTTGCCCAATTCAATGTGAGCTCATGTACTCACGTCCTCTTCAATGAATATACATGGAAAAACATGTCACTTTTCTCTAAATAAATTACTAAAACATTCTTTACAATGACCATATTTCAATAATTTTAAGAAATATTCTCACCACAGTCAACTCAATCCTATTTCATTTAGACAAGTATTTTTACCCTCTAATTGCAGTATACATCATGATAAATGATGACTATCACTGATAAACAGTAATAACATACAAGTTAAACGTCTTAAGTGACCAGCAAAAAGTAGATCAATCACATGAAGAAAATATACCTTAGAAACCCGAGCCTCATACTATAAATGTTATCTACCTTCTTATCACTAAAACTCATTTTCCTTGTGGAAAAAATGAAGTGATATACCAAATTCATAAAAGTTCATTTAAATTAAGTCTCAATATATTGTGGAAATATTTACCACTGTTTCTTCTGAGACATGCTACATAACAAACAATGAAAATAAAAAAAGCTTGTCTAATAAGACCAGTGTCCAATGTAAGTTTTCCTATGCCAATTTAAGTCAGTCTGGGGTGAGGTTGAGCTGAGAAGAATAGGGAGTAGTGCAGGGAGCACTTTTTAAATTGTATTAGACATAACAATTAAGTTACCTGAAGTGAAAACCAATCAAAATACTCATAACAATATCTTGAATTTATTTTCTGATTTCAGTATAAGCAAACCAGTATGCCTAATGATATTAATAAATAATAAATAATTGCAAAATTATTTTTTGTTGTAATGGGTTATTTTTTAAACAAAAAAGCACTAAACTAAATTTATAGCTTTGGGCAATACAACTGTTTAAAACTTTACAGATAGACCAAAATGATATATGAAGCCCTCAAAAGCCAGGTCAGGCCTAGTGCCCAATACAAAATTAAGTGGAGTGTCTATGTTGAGTAAGTTGCAAATGTATTGACACATCCTGAATTTTGTCATGCTCTCTCAATCACAGCGGGCATCGGCTCATTGCCCTCGTTCAGTGTACCAGCGGTTGTCATAATCATTCGGTTACTCTTTTACAGTGTATCTAGACCACAGTAAAGCAATCAAAACCTTCAATAAATTTCTGTGTTTTATCCATGCAGGGGTAACTGTGACATGAGTATCACGTTCAAACTTGCACTTAGTGCAATCAAACCAAGTTTACTCAGAAGTTGGAAACTTACTTTGGAGCATGTACTCCAACTTGCGCCGATCAACGCGAAACCGCTCTTCGTAGACATCCGAGTCTCGGTCCAACGCTTCGTCTAGGTCTCCCTGAGATGGTGAGCCGCAGCTCTCCGCATCCGGCTCGTATGAGGACGGCTGTGACTCTTTCATTCTTCCGACGAGCTCGGAAACTGCCTCCGCCATGGCATTCTGTCGTGTTGTTACTAGACCTTAGTACAGTCCAGTATGCAGCGTTCCTACGCGGTTCTTGTCGTCTGTACACAAACCATGCAATAATAAATCAGAAAATTACTGCAGTAAGTTTCCTTGTATTTAATCAACATATAACCTCTTAATGTTGTGAGCAGTTAATAATTACATTAACCAGTTCAGATAAGTATTAAATGAAGTGATTTAGTCAAAGAACTTTTTACCGGAAATAGATCCTCACAGGTGCCCGAAGGTCGCGCATGAATCGCTGACATATTTCTGAAAACTGTCTGCTACGAGCGGACTGGTGCACCATAATGTACATAAGCGGCATGTCCTTACGTTATAGATAGAAAAATTAGTAGGGACGGCTTATTTTGACATTAATTACCTATTGTATACATCATATTTGTTTTATATGTATTTTTTGTCAAAGGAATAAAAAATTAAGTCTCCCCATGCAATTATAAAGTCCAAATTATTTGAAGGGGGGTCGACCCCCCCTTCAAATAATTTGGACTTTATAATTCACCCCACCCCCACCCCCTTGGCGTGGGGTTCGGGGCCCCGAATAATTTTGCTATTTTAGAGGCCGAACGGTGCCATTTGGTACAGTTTAGAACTATGATCCAGCTAGTCAAAATTTTAATTTCAAGAGGGGACCATTGGTGTGACTTATTTTTTCAGAAATCGAGGGGGGCAGCGCCCCCCCCCCCAACGCCCCCTAAATCCGCCACTGAAATACGCCCCACAGCATTGAAGTTTTTGACAATTAAAACACGTAATTATGAAAACTCATTTTAGAGGAATATGTGCAAACTCACCAATCAATAGTGAAAAATTAGTGTGGTCACCCCGTCACTAAAGCATAGGCCTATTTCAAACTTTCATAACGATGGTTTCATTATTAATGTCATAAAATCACAAAAATGAAAAGTGAAATATATTACTAGCAAATAAAATTTCAACCAGAGAAATACAGCGTTTGGCCTCGACAATCTTTGGAGCATTCGCTTGAAGAAACTCGGTAGGCCTACTTTTTTGTCACATGCGTGATGCGCGCGGTTAGGAAAATTTCCATTGACAGCATGATTGCAAACATCACAAAGTGCGTGTCGACTGTCCGTATTTCACGATGCACAACGTGTAAACACGTTTACAATGATGTCACCCGATGCTACTGTCCGATACTCTGAGACCATAAAACCACTGCATTTCGACCGAAATACCTCTGAAAGAAGACACTAAAATAACCCCGTCCGTGTTACTGCTGATTGGCACCAGTATTTTAAGTGCATAAAAGCGGACGTTATCGCCCAAAAATGCATATGCAATAATGCAACTTGGACACGTAAAGATTCCAGTTTGAGAACTGTTGTTTGTTTAAGTTATTTGATGCTTTTTTTTTTCAATTTTTTCTCACACAAAAACAGTTTTGAAAATGAAATTACGTTTATTCAACGGATTGATTCCCAGCGTCTAGAAGTGAAGGCCTAAACGTCTGAAAATATGTTAAGATTTTGTATACCACATGCAGTTTTCAAGAAAGAGACTGTGCCTACCATAAAGAAATAGCAATTTGAAATTTGATTTGAATAAGCCATAACTTCTTTCTCGATGTACAATGGTGGCGTGATCAGTGAAAAGCGTTTTAATATTTGTGAAATATGTGATCACATGACGTGACAATACGCAAATAAATCTTTAATGATTAAATCTGAAAATCATTTATAAGAGTCTTTGCCACCATAGGATTTTAGATAACACTTCCTATTCTTTTCTATAAATCGACATTAACCAGCATGGAGCTGTATTATATAAACGTTCGCTTTTCTTTCACAGGACAATCACGACAATTCTGACCCCAGCAAGACGTACAAAGAGAGCGGTAGCTCGAGAGGTGAAATTGCAGCACATAATGGTAGCTCCTCGACATGCGATTTCTATTGTATTGCTCTTACTTCTGTGTCCACTCCTTGATGTGCTAAACTGCTGCAAGTGGTCTGCGAAACCGCAACTCGGTGACCAGAGTGCGATGACGGCCAGCGCTGGTAAATATTACACGCGATCCTCCGTTTCCTTTTCATTATTGACATTGGATAGCGGACAGGGAACACGAACTGTGATATCGTGTTCAACTTGAAACACGAGATCTTGACCACTTATGCGATGATCTCAAAATGTAGACTGTTGTCCATTAAAAAAAGTGCAAAAGCACAAACGAAAACAACAAGACCCCACCCACAATCACCGCTCATTTTTTAGAACTTTTTTAAAGTAAGGCCAGCAACTTTTCGGTGTATTTTAAGTATGCTGTAATTGTGAAAATGTTATTAAAGATCAGTCTTGTTCTGCTCAGGAAATTATATCGGATATATATATATCCGATATAATTCCCTGTTCTGCTATTGTGTAATGTTTTTTTATGTTGAAAAAGTGACCTGATGAGATCACTATTGGATTTTTTCCCCAAAATCAGTAAATAAGTTCAATGTTGTTTCAAGGTACATTTAATAACAACAAAAGTCAAGATATTGTATTATGACGCCAGACACACAAGACTTGTTATTCGAGTACAGTTTTTATTTCAGATTAAACATGCCGTCAAGATACGCTGATGCAAAAAAGTATAATCTTCCGACAACAAACTGCATATAACTCTTATTGTTGCTGCCAGATCTTATAACATCAAGTAAATTTAAGCAGACCTAAGGCAAACAATAGGCTCTCCTCTGCAAAAGGTGATTAAACTGTAACCCCAGTGTGGTATTACAATTTACTGCAACTTCCTACCTTGGCCATTTCCTGTCAATTACTCTTAGGTAAACACTGACACAACTGGACCAGTCTCCTGAAGCTTATAATTCATTTTCAGTTGAATAGATTGATAGCTTTGGAATAGGGTTCAAACCATTTAATATTTCTGACAAAATAAATAAATAATAATAACAATTATGACAAAAAAAATGAATATTTGATAGGTGATAATTCCTCCCATCAAGAGATTATTTCAGACATGTAAGGGCAGTTAATTAACAAAGAATGCAGGTGATAAGATCCTTTACGTATCACACCTTGCTTATACTACATCCGAAAGAAGAAAAAATTGCTAGATTTATTAAATAAATGGGGTAAGGCTATTGAGCCGGGCTAAAAACAATTTCAAAAATAAACTATCAAAGTGAAAAAAAATCAACACATTTACTTAACCTCTTTCTGTTTCACCAAGCCAGTTTCCAGAAAAAGTCCCATGTTGCCTTTTATACCCTTTGGTTAACATTGAGCCCACACACATCAGTCCTTAAAGTTAATGATACCACTAGCACTTTGTTGATCACTTGGTATTTGACATCTTCCTACTAGTAGGTATGTTCCGAGTTCACCGTTTTCCGAATATCTTGCATGTGGAATCTAATTATTTCTTTATCCTTTGTACACTAGACAGGTACTTGAACCTCCAGTTCTTTTCTTTTGTAAGTACCCCGCCCCACTGATAATACTAATTTACAGGGTATGATAAAATTTCCTGATAAAATTTCAAGAACTTTTTCATAAAAAAATGTATAAATATAAAGTTTATTGTAATAATTTCGTAATTACTCTGCTATATTTACCAGTAAAAAATTAAATAGCATTTGAGTGATTTATGATCATTAAGAGTCAAGAGCACTCAACATATCAGAATCACTAACTTCCTCACCAAAATCTAGTAATTGCCTATTATCTGTAAGTGTGTTTATACTACCAGTATTTTCTTTATTCAGCCTTGAATGAGACATTTCTGCCAGCATAAGTTCAGCATCTGATAACTCATAACACTGAGGATCAAATGAATTTGCAAGGGTATTACCAAAATGTATATTTTCAAAATAAGGTGCCAGTTCATTTTTCTTTTGCTTAGCCACCACATCACATGCATTTGGATTTGCATAATATGACTCCTCTGCCTCAATTCCAGCTTTAAAAAGTTCTATGTCATCAACCTCATCCCCATCTAGTGTGTCTTGAAAAAGTGCTGCTGGGAGGACCTCATGTGGTAAGGAAAAATCTACAAACAAAAGAGAAGCAATTTTCTGTCATAAAGGATATCTTAAAGATATTCCAATGCCTAAAGCAAAATGGGTTTATTATCGAAAGAAAGGTAGGGGACTGAACTTGTCACTCACCAAGGACAAGAAAACACTGAAAAGTAAATATATGCTAACAAAGGGGCAAAAAAATCATAAATGACAGTTCTGGCATAATGAGGTGCAATTTCAGTTGAAGATAACACCTGTGGGAAAAATTTTCAACATATTTCAGATATTAAAGATAGTTCTGATAAACAACCACTTTGAGAAAAAATAAATAAATAAATAAACACATTTTGAATGAAGATAATATAGTAGCTGCTGCCTTCATAAATATCTACAAAAAGGTTTTTCTTTGACAAGAAATAAAGCATATTTTAAAGCATATGAGGTGGATGAGAGGAAGATGTACTGGGGAGTTGGACAGGAGGTAGCTTTGTTGGTGCCATGGTCCCTATCTTCTTGCATAGCCCACTTACAATTTGATAACAATGGTACCAGTGGCCTGGTCCCCCAATTTTTCTATCAAATTGCCCATGCACTACAGAAAAGTAGTAAGCCAAGTGTAATTGACCACTTCATTATGTTAGTACAAATTCTAAATGTCCCCCTATCAATTGCAATCAGCTAGAATTGCTATAATTTGGTTCTTTAATATGCAATTTTTCACTATATTTTTATACTCTAACATAGAAGGGTAAATTCAAAGCAATGTAAGCCTTTAATTTTGATCAGACTGTCTGTTGCAATATATTGTTTAATATTTCAAATAATGCCAAAAGAGGCAATATGATAAATCAAAGGGTGCTTTTTTTTCAAATATTTGATTATATTAGGATGAAGAGATGTCAATCCATTACATAGGCAGACATTCTGAATCTATTTACCAACTTACTTTGAGATCTATAGTTTAGTGCCCTGCACTCTGGATCATGACATTTCTGATAATAAACTCCCTTTTTAAGATCAGCAATGATCCTGAAAAAATTAAGTATACATGTACCAATAATAAAATGTAAAATAATCATTTATTTGATACACAAACACAATACTTAATGTAAAAGTTCAGAAACAAGGACTGCCTTCTGAGTGCATACATTTTTTATCACCAGCAAAAAAAAATTGAAAATGGGACAATTTTACCAGTCTGTGATGTTAGCCACTAGTCCGATGCTTGTGGCCAGTAAAATTTCATGTGGACCAGATTTTTCCAGAATGTGTGAATTTAGTGGTACCAAATGTCTAATATATTTTTTAATGCTGATTAACTAATCATTATAAGGTATGGCTGTTATTGTGCTAAGGTGTTTTTTACCTGTTGAAATGCCTAGAAGGTTTTTTTTTTACCAATTAGCCTCATAGGTGTAGACAGCAATGGGTTTGAAGGGTAACTCAGTTACCACTGCAGGTAAAGTCACCAAAACCATGCAGTTATTGACAATGGCGGGAAGAACATCACATTGCCACATATTTTTAAAAACATCTTTTAATCTGATAATAAATGGTCTTGTTTATAAAGGTACACTGATAACTGCTCTTTGCTACATTTTTCTCAGCTTGTCAAAATTTTCTGCAGCTGCCCCCCCCCCCCCCCCCAATCACCCTTGGATCTACCAGACAGACTTACATGATGTTATTGCTCCTATGTTGTCTCTGTACATTATCACACCATCTATACTTCCCTATATCATAAGTCAATGTTTCTCCTTGAGAGAAGTAGGCCCAGCGCCTGATGTAGCCTTGCAGCCCATCTCTCTTTATCACATTATTGCTTATGAAATTATCAACTTCTGGATAAGGTGAATGACTGTAACCTTCCACAGATTCCAGACCTGAAACAAAAATATTGATCTGATAGTTATGAAGTACATTTCTGAACATTTCACAACTGTGTATAACCAGTTCTCTTTTTGCCAAAAGGATTAAAGCTGCTACAAGAGACCACGGTGTTCCAGTATAGGTGGCCCTGCTCAATGTGAAAAGGTGCTCCACAGATTTAGTCACAGTTTATAATATTTTTATTCATATCAGGTTATGGTACAGTTAACTGAATAATTACTAAAAATAACTTTTTTCAGATAAAAATATTCATGGTTTATACCTTTTGTGAACTGAATGAACTATGAATGTCCCTGGGTATTAAAGCCCTGGTGAAGGTACAGAATCAGTGCATGTTACTTGGTCTTTTAGTCATATCTTTTCTTGCATTAACAGCCCTCTTATACCATGTTTGAACATGTATCCATTAAGTGTATACAAACCAGTTCATGAGCAGTCAAATGAAAAATTAACTAAAAAATTCAAACAGTCCCACCTTGTCAATTTGTACGTGTTCTTTCTATGTCAATACCTGAAGCAGGTATTGTTTGAGGTAAGAATACAAGCCCCATAGGATTTCTCTCTTTGGTGCAATGACGCACACATCTATTCCCTATTGATCTAGTTACTATGTCACTAAAGGCATTGAGTGTGATTGCACTGGATATTGACACCCACTGAGATAATCTAACTTCCTACATATTCTGAGAACTGATGGCTGAACAAGGCTTTATCCTGTTTTTCAAACTGAATACATTGGTTACAAATCAAATATTATGACTTTGAGACATAAAGGATGTTGAAGTCAGAACGCAGAAGCTATTTTCTTTTTTTTTGGCTCTGTTTAGTTACTGCTGTCTGTAACTGTGATGCAAATGAAAAATTTCTTGATATGACGTATATTCACAGAGGGACTGCAAAATACAGTTTTGTGGCATATTCATGTCCTTACTTTGTAGCAAACAAATAAAAAGAAAAAAGAATGCAACAGTGCCTTTGTCACTTAAGCTTTTCTCTCAAAAGTAAAGACTACTGCAGTTGTAATTCAGTTATGCACACAACAAGTTTTATTATTTGCACATCAATATTAGGAAAATATAATAAGACGGTTGGAATAAGTAGATGCCCAAAATTACACTCTTGCACATAATTTTGGACTAAAAAATGCATTTAATTTAATTTTTACCTATTGGTGATTAAAAAAACTTTTCTACTTAAGAATTACTTGATGTAAAGGAGTTAGTAAGGCCTTGCAGGCCCGTAGCCAGCAATTTCAAAAGGGGGGTTCTTTTTCTGAAAAAGTGGACCTTTTTCCATAAAAACTTCATTGCCCAGATCAAATTTTGCCCAGAGTGGACCTTTTCCCAGCAAAGGGGGCAGTTCTTTCGAACCCCCCGAACCCCCCCTGGCTACGGGCCTGTAGACTTGTGGTTTAAACAAAAATCATGCTACATTTACAACAACATATAGCCATAATTCATAAGATCTAAAACAAATCTACTTACATTTCCCAAAACAATTAAAAGTGATAGAAGTCAAGCAATTTGACAATTCCAAAATGCCAGTTTGGTTAAAGTAAGAAAGCATGTTTATATGGATAACAGAAAATAGTAAATCTTGGATAAATATAATTTTGAAATAATGACAGAATCTGTAATTATTGTGACAACTAAGATTTTTTAACCTTGTTTACAAACCTTTGTAATCTGCACTTGGCTCTCTTTGCCTGGATCGTGATACTGGGCAAGCAGTATCCTCACAGTTGAGGATTTTTACCTGGTTGGAAAACCTTAAAATAAGAGAAAAAAAAACATTTTTCCAACAAAACTGTAACACATATACAGTAACACAGAAATAAAATAATAATTAAAAAAAAACTCATTATTTCTGGTGGACTGAGATATTTGTGAGTCTTTACTAACTCCTTTACATCACAGTAATTCAAACGATCACATCACTATTTACTGGTACTGTTGCAATGTTTATATTTTAACTTTAAAAAGTTAACAAAAAGCTTCATTCATAACTGAAGCACAAAGCAGAGGAACATTGGTTACCCAATATTGTTTATCAGTGAATCAAAGAACAATTCATATGATGGCACATCACTGTTTGCAAGATGAGGCTTGTACTGATTTCTTTTAGAAATCTTCAGAGGGTTGTTCTTCATATATTTACTGGAAAGATACAGCCTGAAGTTCCTGTTCTTAGTGTAAACAGCTAAAATAACAAATACAAGGAATAAGTTTAAAAATTCAGAAAAAAATCTGATACTTGTGTCTGATACTTGTGGTAAAAGATGGTGACTTAATAAAAACAACCTAGTCATTTTGCCATGACTGGTGATAAATTATATCATTTTGCTATAATGGAATGTTTAAAACTTGCAAAGTATGGATACAAAGCATTTTCAAATAAAATGTACACTGGCACATTTCATCTCATGGCAAAGATATGAAATATGTTAACTGGGAAAATTTAATTTTAGCCAACTATGATTTACAATTTTTAAAGAAAATTGCCACATAAATACTGGAGTTACACTCAAGATAGAGAAAAATATTGCTCTTAACCGAAGATTCAAATTTTCTTTTTATTTTTTTATACTAGTCTGAACTGCAAAAAATGCAGTTTGTCATTTATAGATAAAATACTTACCCAAATCACAAAACAAAACTCTGTTTTCATGTTTATCCAGCACCAGTAAATTGAACAATTCCTCTTTACATATGCCAAGTTTTTTAGAGTCCTGTACAGAACATTCACTGTGCAAATGACTTGAAGCAGCTTCAACACATCTTTCATCATCTTTAAAAATTGTTGAAAGACTGCTTTCTTTGGTTCTCTCTAACACTTTCTGAGGAGATTTTCTTGGTAATAACCTGTTATCACAGATGACATCTGCTGGTTTTCCAGGTAAGTTAATGTCATCAACTGTAAGATCTGTAGACTTCCCAGGTATTGAGCTGTCACTTGGAGCCCGGTGTGACACCTTTCCAGGATACTTTACAGAATATTCACTCCCCCCAACAGCAATATATGAACTTATTGTATGACCATCACATGAAACCAGTGGATCCATTTTTTGCTTTTTGTAAACTTCTTTTATCTCTGAATGACCAGCATTAGTTTGATCACCGTCTTGCGTATTTTGGTACAAGTCAGTTGTTGTCTTAGGAGCATCACTGATCATATATGACTGTTTTTCATTGCTTTCTGCACACATGTCTATTAACTTCTTACAAATTTTACGCACAAAATGCCCTTGAATAA